ATATATGAACATATCACACATATGTAGTATATTATTGAAATATGTATATCTTATTTTTATTATTAGAGCTATTAAATTATTGTATATAATATCTTTAATTTCATTGTAAGATTTATTTTTAATTGTCGATCATTAAAACACGATAATCGTGAGATATACTTATATTGACATATAAGATTCACACCTACTTTTTCTGCACCGTAATAAATCAAAATGTAGTTATATTTACTAAAAATAGTATAATTTGATAACTCATATATTTTAGTGTAATTAATATTATAATTATACAAACAAGTATTAATAATATATAAATATAAATTTTAAACATTAATTATTGTTCATTAAATCAACAATGTTAATTATTATCTAGAAAAATTATTGTCTAGAAGAACTATTATTCTAGAAGACTATGACTTAAACAATATGATTTATATTTAGTATAAACCATACTAGATCGATCGTCAATATATACTGCATCCCGTACTATAGAATCACTTTGCATTTAAATATTTAATCTAATACATTATTATTTCATATTAACAAATGATATTTAATACTGCGGCCTAGAGATGTATTGCCCTACCTTCATGAATTTAAGGTATTTCTTTAAGTCCGATTTTCTAGATTGAAGTATTAAACCTACTTTACCGAGTTTTAATTCTTCAAGTAAAAAAGCAATAAAGTAAAAATATTAGTAAAAGAAACTAATATGATTCATAAAAGATTCAGATAAACTATCAATAATATTAATAATAAAATTTTGGAATAATTAACACTGTTTTTATTTTAATATAATTTCGAAAGAATTAAGTGTTGTTTGTTGATTATCATTAATTAGCGAATAAAGAATAAAATATTTATTGAAACTATTTTAAAAAGGTAGCAAACAGTTTTGTGTGTGTTCAAACTGATATCAAATAAGCATTAACCTTTATAGTAAAATGGTATATGTAGCCATCTAGAATTTTATTTCCAATTAGAATAGTTTAAGAGTTAGTATTGACTTTGAGAATTTATTGACATTAATACCTTCTGCAAAATATGACAGCAAAAAGGATACCAGAATTAGTTATGCTCTTAAAAAACTCTTTATAAAATAGTAACTATTAAAAAAACACTCCTTATTACTTTGACGACTCGAGTCTCTCCCAGTAGAAGTGATTTATTTTCATGATTATTTTTACATAACATAATTTTTGTTTTTTATATGAAACATAAATGTATATATATATAGCAATTAATTTTTTTATATACAAATAGGAAGTATATGAAATATTGAAATGAAATAATTAAGTTTCTCAACAGAATTTTTTCGAAAAACCAAGTGAAGACGCTTGATGTCAAGAAAAATTAATTCTAAAATTTTTTCCATGCTTACTGATGTTAAATATACTCTAAATGTTTAAAAGAAAAAATGAAAAAAAAATTTACTTTAAAACTAACAAAAAAAATAAACAGCAAAAATAACAACAAAAAAAATTATAAATAGTTTTTCGTGTTATTTTTGAAAACAAAAGTCAAAAAACTTAAAGTACCATCAGCATTTTTTATTTTAAATAAAACAAAAAATTTTAGAAAAAATATATACAACTATATTTCTGATTAAACCATAAAGTAATATAAAATATAAACAAATTTTACAAATATTGGCATATAATCAATATAATAATGTATAAATTTAATATATAAATGAATTAAATATGCAAATGTATTAATAAATGTATAAAAACAATGAATGTGAATAAATGAATGAGTAAATATACAATATATAAATATGTAAAATAAACAAATGAAGACGAAGAATAAATTTACAATTACTTTTTTTTGTTTATTTCATTCATTCATTCAATTCATTTACTTAATAACTTATTATTAAATAAATTTTCCATTAAATGTCTGCATAAAAAATTTTATCAGAGGTTTGTCTGTGCTTTGTGGTTAGGCCATTTATATATAGTTTTATTTATCAGAAGAAAAAAAAAACAAAAAAATAAATAATTTTACAAAAACAGTATCTTTACATAATTAAAGGGGTGCTCACGGTTTTATATCCAAATATTTAATTAATTTGGAGTATTGACCTTTTTACCAAGTCTTAATACTTTAACTGCATTCGTATAGAATTCAGCTTTTAGCAGAAGGATCTAAATGTGATTGATTTA